AACTAAAAATAAATCCCAAACAAAGGTCTAAATGATGTAAGGTATATTCTAATCTCACCACCTCCCACTCAAAATAAATTAACTCGTTATCTTGTCATTGGTTAAGCTCTTATACCCACTCCAAGTTTTTCAAGTTTGTCCGGAAAAAAAGGAGTGACACGAATGAAATCAAGTAAAATGAGCCGAAAATCATTATACTTATATTAGTAATTAAGATTAAAAAAATATATTTCAAAGGGTTATTAATCACCCATTTAGGTTTAACTATGTCTAAAATTATTATTGGTACATCAAAAAATGTTCATTTAACTCACTTTTTTTTGGGGGGGTTTCAATTCAGTCCCGCTGCATACCCCCAGTGGGGGTCGCGCCCCCAGTGGCTGAAAACTCAAAAAAAAAAAAAAAAAAATAGTTTTTTTTTTTGGCCAATTATGGAGTGACACCTCACTGGGGGTCGACCCCAAGTGGGGGTAGAAAGCATTTTTGGTTTCAATTAGGATTACCCAAAAAACAATAAAATAAATAAATAAAAAAAAAAAGTCACCTTGAAACATCTGCAGGTTTCAATTAGGATTACCCAAAAAACAATAAAATAAATAATAAAAAAAAAAAGTCACCTTGAAACATCTGCAACTACTAGTGGCTTAAGGTTCTTATTGCCCAAAAAATTTAAAAGCATAAATTAAGTGAAATAAAAGGAAATGAAAATGGAATTACTTGTACTTTTTTTTCATTTAAATAACTAAAAATGATTTTTTTTTAATGCATTTATATTATTTTCCTTTATTTTGCCTTTCATTTTAGATCTTAAAACCAAACAAAGGTCACTGTCAAGTATTAGGCCAAATTTGGGATACTTAAAAAAAATTAAAAAGTTAAAAAGTTACTCAAAAAGTTAAAAAGTTAACATTATTCACCAAAAGTCGATAATTACGGCTACACAACTCCTAATCCTAATTTTCCTCTATAAACCATTTTTTATACTAATTTTTTATTGCACATTTTTTCATAAAAGTCAAAAAATTAATCCAAACATCCATATTTTTTCCCTCAACTTTTTAATCTAAAAAAATAAAAAATACACTTATTTAAAACATCTCAAACAATCCCTTAATCCCTCATCTCCCACCAGAAATAGATTGGGAGGTTAGCAGAGGAAGTAGGCAACCAAGTCACCCAACTCAACCTACCACCTGCCACGTAGTATTATCCTATTTATAATTCACTAATTAATTTATAATATGAATATTATTATAAATTTATATATTTACAATGAGATCATCCCTTGATTTACGCCAGTGATGCATGTCAATCCTGGGGTCCACAGTCCGCGTTGAAACACCTGCCTATCTTACCTTTGTAGCCCCTAATCTAAAAAATAATAATTAAATTTAGATGGCTGAGCTTCATTTCAATTGATAATTCAATTGTAATGTTGCCTTATTTCGAATCATCTTCTTGATTTAATAGTCAATGATCATATTAATTTTAAAAAATAAATAATTTATTTTTAAAATTATAATTTTTATTTATTTTTATAAATCGTATAATTTGATTTTATAACTATTAATATCTGATTAATATAATTTTTTTTATATAACTAATCTTCTAAAAAAATTTACAAGTTGAACTATTGAGCCACCGACAATACATTTCGAGTTAGATTGCTCTTTTCAATTTTTTATTTTTTTATCTTTAAATTTTAGATAGTAATCCTCAATAAGATTATTTTTTAATTATAAATTTGAATAGAGATTTGAAAAGAAAAAAAAAATTATGAAATATATTTTATTTATATTTTATTTTTTTAAATTTATAATACAAACAGACTAAAAAAATTAATTAGTAAGGAGTTATCTTGTTAAAGTGGGTAAACAAAATCAAATCCCCTATCTCAAAAGTCGTGTAATCTATATACACCTTGCTTGTGTAACCAGAATGAATTCTACCCAATTCCCACTAGGTATTTTAGTTTGTGCTTTTTGACTCTGAATTTTCAATGTTTCAAATGAATACTACCTTTATATATTAATTGCATGTGTGTAATTAGACAAAATATTTGTAACCCAATTCCCACTAGGCTTATTCTAGTTTCTGGAATGTTTCGAAGAAAGAGTACTGGAAAATGCATAAAAGTATTTCAGAAAATATAAATATGTGTATATATTTTAAAATTCTAATTATTTTAGTATTATTTGTACCCTAACGACAGACTATAAAACTCTAGTTATTTGGGAAGTGGATTGGCTTTTTGACTTTTTGATTTTTTTTGATTATTTTAGTCTGGGGCTAAAAAGCCTAGTTTGAGAATGACTTTTGGCTTTTTTGATTTTTTTGTGAGAGAAAAAATGTAATGATCATAAATTAGATGTGATATTTTGCCTTATTGAACTAAAAAGCATATTTTATTTTTTGTGACTATTTTAGCCAAAAAAAACCCCAAAAACCACTTGCCAATCATAGGCTAAGTGATTGCAAAGCTAGTCCTACCTAAATATGAAGCGAAGGATTTGTACCCAAAAAAATAATAAAAGCAAAACAAAAAGAAGTTTCCAAAATAGAAATAACAAAACACATCCATGAAATGTCTAATTCTTTTAAAACATTGAAAAGTACATGTCCTCTGAAAAATTGGAATAGTTTGGCAACATTGAAGAAATTATTCAGTAATTTGTTAATATTTTTAAGATTTAATAAATAAATAAATAAAACTTTCAAGAATACATAGTAAGAGCTCATTTGGAAAGAAAAAGCTCAGATTTTTTGGTTAAAATAGTCACAAAAAAATAAAATTTTAGTCTAATAAAACAAAACATTACATTCAACTCATAATCATTATATTTTTCCTCTCACAAAAGTCAAAAAGTTCCAAACGAACCCTAAATAATATTGAGTAATGATACGTAGCTCTAATTTGAAAGTTCTAAATAAAACTCAAATGAGGTGAAAAAGAGAGAGAGTAAAGAGAGATAAAGAGAAGAGTGTGGATCCCACCTTTATATGAATACTCTCCACATCATAAGAGTTACATTAAGGCTCTGTTTAGTTGTGCTCTGTAATCAATTTTCTACCCGTGTGTTGGAGCATGATGTTTGGTTTCGTTTTCAAATCAATTTTTTACACTCTGCAGAAAGAACTCTGATGCACAGGCGCGTTTTTTGTCCACCCAGTTGTCCACCCGGTAGACCACCCGGATGTCCACCCGGATGTCTGGCTGATTTCCAGATTTTTTTTTTTTTTTTTTTTTTTGCAATTGATTTACATAATCGGGACAAATATTTTCTGAAAATTTTTAAATTTTTTATGTGCTTTAAAATAATTTTGAATTGTATGTTTAGTTATGAGTTGTAAATTTTTGTATCACATATCAAATGTCACATCAATAATTCTCCACTCAAATCAAACCTCTTTTCCAAAACTATTTTCAAAACTCTTTACCAAACAAATTTTCTACACTCAAATCATAATTCCACAACACACAAACTCAAAATACAACTCATACTCTCAAATCACATTTACAAAACACAATCAAACGCTACCTAAAACTTTCAAATTAAAACTCTAAAAAATTTTAAATAATATTATATAATATTTTGAAATTACCTTAATAACTTCTTGAATTTGACTCTTATAGAATTAAATGACAATGGTAGTAATTTTTTTCCCCGAGTTATCATTATATTGTACTGGTAGTGATTTTTTGACTTTTTTTTGTGCTTTTGTTAGAATTGTAAAATGAATCAAGTTATTCAATCTTAGAGTTCATTTGGAATGTGGGTTGATTTTTTTATTTTTTGACTATATTAGCCCAGGGCTAAAAAAATCTCGTTTGGAATATGTTTTTTGACTTTTTTGACTTTTGTGAGTGAAAAAATAAAATGATTATAGGTTGGATAGGATATTATCCTATTTGACTAAAATAACCTATTTTGTCTTATATGACTATTTTAGCCTAAAACATCTTCCCAAACAAGCTCTTAATTTGTATTTGAATGTTAAAAGTCTATTTAAATTGATGTAAATTGTATACAAACCCCAACTTGAACATTGTTTAAAATTTGTTAAGTTTTGAAGTTGAATTTAAAAGGGGAAAAAAAAAAAAAAAAAACTACTAAGCTAATAGGCCAAAAACACTGACAATTGTGTTTTTAGTATTTTTTTTTTCTTTCATATTCAGTAAAAAAATTTCACTTTTAAATCCTACTAAATTAAACAGATTTCAAAAAAAAAAAATCCACCAAAATTATAATAAAAAAAACCAAAAAAAGTTGACATTTTTATCTCTTTTTTTTTGTCATTTAATAAGATTTTTTGAATTTTTCTTTTGAAAGTTACTTTTTAAATCTTTCTAAACGAGACAAACTTAAAAATTGACACAAATTATTTTTTAACTTAAAAATTGACACAAATTATTTTTTAAAAGTTCATAAAAATAAAAAAGACTTTTTCAACTATGATTTTGACACAAATTAACTTTTAATTAAAAAAAATCATAAAAATAAAAAAGACTTTTTCAAATACTACTAAAGAGAATTTATTTTCTCTATTATTATATACGTAAACAATTCACTTTAGTCTCTTAAAACTTACCATCTTCTTTTTGTTAAATGAATTTTTTTAATATGAAAATAGAAGAAAAAAAAATTATAAAGTGCATAAAATTTGAACTTAAAAATTTGAATTTAAGATGTTATTTAGAATGTTCTAAATAAATACATTTTTTGACTTTTTATGAAATATGAGTTGAATTTAAAATTATGTGATAGAGAAGTAATGTGACTTAAATGAAATGATTAACTTAAATAGGATAGTAATTTTTTAACTTTTTTAAAATATGTCACACCTTTATCACTTAACAAACAAAAATTATATATATTTTTAATTTAAAATCAAAATTTATATTTTATAAATTTAATAAAACACGTCAATTTATAGTAGATGGACAGGACAAACCGTTCTTGCAAAGCACAGGTGTGAACCCGTGATTGAACCGTGTGTTCGTGCTTTCCAGAAACCAACCCAAAAAAGGGATTCTTCTTCACTGCTGACGTCAAGTTGTTTTTTTGCCGGTCCTTTTTCGCCGGTTCACGCCATACATTTCAAACATTTAACCTAACCCCCATTATAAAAATAAAAAATAAATAAAAATAAAAAAACATAGAAATAGTCAAATTCACATCACACACAAAACACCTCTCTCATATATTCAAACTTCTTCCAAACCTTCCTCAATTCATACTTACCTCCCTCTAAAAATCTCTCTTTTTTCCAGCTTAATGCCATTCAACCCTCCTCCACCACCGTCACCGTCATGCAATGCAGCTAAACCGCCTCTGCTTCATTTTACCGGCCGACTTCGACGAAATTGAACCGGTCAGTCATGTTCATGAACAAGTCCACCACACACCCACAAAGGAACACTCATCATCATCTCATCGCAATTGCAGTGCTCATATTGTTGATTTTGTCCGGAGCTCGCTCGACCGGCTCTTGGACTCCAAATGGGTCAGTTTTTGCTACCACAGCACGCCGATAAAACAACACTCCGGCCTGTTCCATGACATGGCCGGAGTGGAGTTATCGGCGGATGGCAAGGTTGGCGGCAACAATCCAAGAATATTCAGTTATGCGGAGCTCTATATAGGATCTAATGGGTTCAGTGAGAATGAAGTTCTTGGGAGTGGTGGGTTTGGGAGGGTTTACAGAGCGGTTTTGCCGAGTGACAAGACGGTGGTCGCCGTGAAATGCTTGGCGGAGAGGGGAGAGCGGTTTGAGAAGACTTTTGCCGCGGAGTTGGTGGCGGTGGCTCATCTCCGCCACCGGAACCTTGTCCGCCTCCGGGGGTGGTGTGTTCACGAAGACGAATTGCTTCTTGTTTATGACTACATGCCTAACCGCAGCCTTGACCGGGTACTTTTCCGGAGGCCGGAAAATATGGGGTCGGCGCCGGCGCTGAATTGGGAGCACCGGAAAAAGATCATTGGCGGATTGGCGGCTGCCTTGTTTTACCTCCACGAACAGTTAGAGACTCAGATCATACACCGGGATGTGAAAACAAGCAATGTAATGCTTGACTCGCATTACAATGCCAGGCTCGGCGACTTTGGCCTGGCAAGGTGGCTCGAGCATGAGCTCGAGTACGAAATCAGGACACCGTCAATGAAAAACCACCAATTCCGGTTGGCAGAGACAACCAGAATTGGCGGCACAATTGGTTACTTACCACCCGAAAGCTTTCAAAAACGAGGAGTCGCAACTGCTAAATCCGATGTTTTCAGCTTTGGAGTAGTGGTGTTGGAGGTTGTTTCGGGAAGACGAGCGGTAGATCTCACTTACCCGGATGATCAAATCATTTTGCTTGATTGGATCCGAAGGCTATCGGACGATGGAAAGCTATTACAAGCAGGGGATGCTCGTCTTCCAGACGGGTCTTGCTGGCTTTCTGATATGGAACGTTTGATTCATATCGGATTGCTATGCACGCTGCATGACCCGCAGTCCCGGCCTAACATGAAATGGGTTGTGGAAGCACTTTCCGGCAGCATATATGGCGGTTTACCGGATCTTCCATCGTTTAAATCCCACCCTCTATACATCACTCTGTCCTCTCCATCGACAACACACACTGGTACGACAAACACCACCACCACAAGGTCCACTGCCAACAACAGTACCGCAACTACAGCAGCATCCAATTCATCGAACTTTGTCACTGCCACCGGAGAAACCATATACGTAACCGCAGAAAATGGGAATGGTGATGCCACCGGCTCTTCCCCCGCAGCTTCCGCCAACAAAAAGTCTTTCCAATGGTTGACACTCCGCGGGAAATTTCTTACAAGGAAATCATTTCTGCCACAAACAACTTTGCCGATTCTCGGAGGGTAGCGGAATTAGACTTTGGAACCGCCTACCACGGCTTTCTCGAAAACCAGCAACATATCCTGGTGAAGAGGCTTGGCATGAAAACCTGCCCTGCATTGCGAGCACGCTTCTCAAACGAGCTCCAAAACTTGGGCAGGCTTCGCCATCGAAATTTAGTACAGCTTCGCGGATGGTGCACCGAGCAAGGTGAGATGCTAGTAGTTTATGACTACTCCGCGAATCGTCTTCTCAGTCTCCTCCTTTTCCATCATGATCACAAGAATGTGAATTCAATCCTACGGTGGCGTCACCGTTACAACATAATCAAATCACTTGCTTGTGCCATTCGTTATCTCCATGAGGAATGGGAAGAACAAGTCATTCACAGAAACCTTACCTCCTCTGCTGTCATTCTCGATTTGGATATGAATCCGAGGCTCAGTTCCTTCGCCCTCGCTGAATTCTTGACGCGTAATGAGCACGGCCATCACATAGTCATCGACAAAAATAGATCTGTTCGTGGGATTTTTGGTTACATGTCACCGGAGTACATGGAGTCCGGTGAAGCAACCACAATGGCGGATATTTATAGCTTTGGAGTGGTGGTTCTTGAGGTAGTTAGTGGACAGATGGCAGTTGACTTCCGGAGGCCCGAGGTGCTATTAGTAAAGAGAGTCCATGAATTTGAGGCACGGAAAAGGCCATACGAGGAATTGGCAGATTGGCGATTGAATGGCGTGTACGATCACAAGGAATTGGTGAGGATGATAAAATTGGGAATGGCGTGCACACGATCTGACCCGGAATCAAGACCTAGCATGAGACAGGTTGTACAAATACTTGACGGTCATGACAAATGCTTCATGGAAAAAGGGCAAAAGAAGGAGAGTAGAGGAGAATGGAGAGAGAAAAATGCGTCGTCTTTGTCATTGATTAGGAGAATTCAAGCTCTAGGAATACAATGAAACTCACTGGAGAATGCAACAGTGATATGTAATAGACAATGTATGTATACAGAGGTTTTTTTTATGGAATCAAAGGATGTTTGCCTTTTCTTCTTTTCAGTTTTCTAGCTTCCTTCTGGGTGTCCTATATTGTTTTAGGTGGTTGATGTATCTTTTTGACTACATAGTCATGAAGCTCTGATCATATCCAAGTTTGCCAAAATGCACATATCAATTTTTTTTTCTTTTTTCTTTTTTTGATAACCACATATTCTAAACAGGGCATTTTGGACTCACCCCAAAAGCACAAACTAGGAATATGTGCAACCACCCGCTAACTTCACATATCGAGCAAAGTAACCTCTTGGATAGAACCTAGGTGACTTACCATTGGAGCTATCCCTTTGTAAACCCCTTTCCGGTGTTCTCGTACTAGGAAAAGGTCCTCTCACTGCATATTTCTCTTAAAGAATTTCTTTAGGGTGTGTTTGGATCAATAATTTGTGGAGGAAAAGAAAATAAAAGGAAAAAGTAAATAAAATATAAGCTAAATCTTGTTCATTTTTCTCTTCATTTTTCCTTTCCCTTTCTCTTCCAAATTTCTTCTCAAATTCTTAATCCAGACATAGCCTAATTTTTCCAAAACAACTAGCATGAGATTCTTTAATCACAACCAAAAACTCCACATACTAGACTTCTCAATTTGATTTAGACAGAACAGGAACAACAGATTCAGGAATAGAAGAAATTAGATCTAGTAAATTAAAACTGTGATTCACAAAAAGTCAGAAGATTTATTTACAGAATTTTACACAAAAGCAGCTATTTAGAGTAATGTTTGTTACTTTAGACATTTTAGGTATATACATGTGTATAAATCTGCCCTCACTTCAATTGTTCCTTGCTCCATTTCAATGCTGTCCTCGATTCACGTTTTACTTCCAGTCACATGATTCTCATCGGTGTCGACCCCTACCCAATTGATGAAGGAAAATAGAAACTCCCTGAAGCTGACATTCCCTTTCCCGTCCCAGTCCATTTCTTCTGCATTCATACCAAAGAAAAAAAAAAAAAATCACTGAGACAAGGTTAAAAGAACATAAAAAGGAAATGGAACCAAAAATTTACTAGTATCAGTAGAAAAAAAAGAAGTTGGTGATACTAAATCGAGCCCTCGTAACATGTGCAGGGGATTTCTCCCAAGGAAAATCCTCATTCAGTGATTTGACAATGTCTTTTTTGTTCAGCTTTCCATCACCATTTTTGTCAAGAAACAAGAATGCTTCAACTATGATATCAAATGTGGCTTCAAGCTGTGGAGATCCCATCTTTGATGTCTGAAAGAAATCCATAGATCATGAAACAAATTCACCACAAATGTTGCTCCCCCTAACAAGTGATTTTATAGCCAAAAACAAGAGAGTTTGATTGTACTAGAGTGTGAGGAGAGTTTGAATAATCCGTTAGGAGATAAATGAGACACAAAAGAACCATAAACTCTTTGAATTGTATCCCTGCACTCCCATCTAAGTCACAGGAATCAAAAAGATCATCAATCTCCTTCTCTGCAAGATGAAGTTGCAATTTTTGTACGCATTTTTTGAGTTCATCATTGTCAATAGTTCCATTAGAATCTTCATCTGTGTAGACAAGGGAGAGAGGGTAGAGAGAGAGAGAGGGGGGGGACTAATCAGTTTGCAGTATAACTCGATATTTTATTATTATTGTTAATTTTTTAGGACTGGAAAGAAAGAACTCACCGTAGTGTTCGAATACACCCCTGATGTCTTTCAGTACCTCTTTGATCTGCGGGAACTTCATGATTATGCCATTGATCGATCTGAAATTGTTAATTCGCAATGCACTTCTCTTAACTTCCATCATTTTCTTTTCGAGCTTAGCGTCTAACTTCTTATACTTGTTTGGTGGACTATCAAAGCAGAACATGCCTCCTAATTTGTTGGGCAATGACTTCAGGGCAAGGCATACACCGGATGAGCCTTCAAAAATTAAAAGCCCACAAATAATTGAATTTAAGCACAACAAACAGGATCAAACTTCAAAGTATGATTAAAATATCCCACTTAAGTTATTAGATCACGTGAAACAAATCTCATGTTTTAATCTAGGTCATGTGGTTTAGATATTTCTCTCATTCAAGTTCAATTATAAAAAAAATCCAACCTATTATCCAAAAAGATCATGTGGTCCCAGCAACTTAAGTGGTGCTCTCAAATTGTTTGTTTCAATCCATTTTTTCAAGGCATTAATACCAACTAAATAGAGGACTGAAATACAGGCAAACCCATCTCATAACTATAGAAAAACGTGTTCTACCTAGAATAATATAATATGCTTAGTAAGCAAATATATCTTCCAACAAATTGAGCCAACGTTGCACAGCTTGAATATTCACGAACACTAGGACACAACAACTCACAATGGCCTACCGCTAGAACAACCAACCTAAGTTTTGTCTATGGAATTTCCAACAGGCATCTTGTAACAGAAAGAAACTTTTAAAGGCATCACCCAAAAGAAAGGACAATCACTAATTGATATCCATGTCTAATTACCATAGAACTTCCAATGAACTCTATCTGTAGTACATTCAATCAGAAAAAGCATGCCTAAGAGTTTATACCTATGTGTCCAGCAGTCATATTCTTTTGCGAAATGTTCCCATAGGCTGGTGCATGTTTGAGATGTTCTCCTATGGGAAAAGGTGTTTGGATAAGGTTGCTGGCTAATTTCAGTTCATCCTGATCCGGTGGTCTGTTGTTGAGGCTGCTGGAAGAGCATTTGCATTGCACACATGACTGTAAGCACGAACATTGGACAGGGTGTTCCTTAAACCATGACTGATCCACCTACCTCCTTGATCAATTGATCGTGAGCGTCCACATGTTAATGCCTCAGGGATTTTTGTTTTGTGCGATCCAGCTCTTTTGCTAGACTTTGGTTGTGTGCATGTCTTTTGGCACAAGTTTGGCTAGACAGGTGTGAATCCAAAATATTATTTCTAAACTAGCAATTGTAATGTTATCCTTCTACCTAGCCAATTGGATTGTGATTGGTTTAATCTGTTTAGGCTAGGTTTGATAGGGTTTGCCTCTGTGAAGAGTGTGTGCCTTTAATAACTAGGGACCAATATGGACATATATGAGTAAGGCATTACAAGTACTACTAGTCAGCAATTCTCTACACAGGTCTGATTCAGAGATTGTCAATTAACCTTTCATCATATCAATCAACCAAAACCAACTAATACAGAGCACATTGTGGAAACCCTAGTAACTATTTACTGCAATCAGCAAGATGATCCTCTTATACATTAGCAGTAAAAGGTATATTATGATCTGAGCAACAATAACACAACAAGAATTAATAGCTCAAACATAACTCGCTAGTCTTATGAAACTCTGTGATTGAAATTTCAGAGACTGAAGAGACGAGAAAAAATTGAAACAGCAATGCTAGGTGGCCACAAATTGTGTGGCTCGAATGGCTTAGCAGTAAAAGGTATATTATGATCTGAGCAACAATAACACAACAAGAATTAATAGCTCAAACATAACTCGCTAGTCTTATGAAACTCTGTGATTGAAATTTCAGAGACTGAAGAGACGAGAAAAAATTGAAACAGCAATGCTAGGTGGCCACAAAATTGTGTGGCTCGAATGGCTCGAAACACCCAAAACGACGTTAAAACGACGTCGTTTTGGGTGCAAAACGACACAAAACAACGTCGTTTTGGCAGTTTCGGGCCATTTGAGTCACAAAATTTGTGGCCCTCAAACATTTTTCAAATTGAAAATACAGAGAAAACAGAGACTTACCCAGTGACTCTTTCATGGTTTATGTTGTGAGAGATGATGATAGAGAGATGGGTATTCTCTGATTGAGTAGGCATATTTGTAAAAAGGAAACTAGAAGATAAAAAGAGTGAAAGGGAATTGGGTTCTGGGAAAGTAATGTGGAAATGCATGTTATGGATTTGAATTGACGTCTCTCTTTCTCTCTTGAGTGGATATACCATGATTTTGTTTCACAACTATTCTATTCTCTGATGCAACTTCTCAAAGCAATTTACTTGTATTTGTATGTACTCCAAAACAAAACGCTTCGCGAGGCAAAAAGATGATGTCAAAAACCACATCAATAATATTATATATCTGAAAAATTATTAAAACAAATATTTAGATGATATTAAATATCACTCACATCTTATTAATTTTAAATTTATATTTTATACTATAATTTCTCTTTCTAAAATCTTCTTTCTCTCTTGAGTGGATATACCATGATTTTGTTTCACAACTATTCTATTCTCTGATGCAACTTCTCAAAGCAATTTACTTGTATTTGTATGTACTCCAAAACAAAACGCTTCGCGAGGCAAAAAGATGATGTCAAAAACCACATCAATAATATTATATATCTAAAAAATTATTAAAACAAATATTTAGATGATATTAAATATCACTCACATCTTATTAATTTTAAATTTATATTTTATACTATAATTTCCCTTTCTAAAATCTACAATGTTCACAGTCTAAAAAGAAAGCCCATTCTTTTTAAGATCAAAATCGTTTCCCAGGATTATTTTGAGAAGTTGGTAAAAAGTTGATTTTGATTTTTTTGGAACTGATTTGAAAAGTTGATAAAAAGTTGACTTTTTGCTTTTTAATTTAATATTTATTTATGGTGTCAAATCAAATTAAAATAACCAAAATATCCTTACCCAACATAAGAGATTTATTTTTTTATTTTTTTTTCATAGGTCCTAATTTGTAATTTTACGGCTACGTTTTTGGCACTTGCCAAATGGCTTTTCTGGCGTTTTTGGCAGCCACATTTTTGGACATTTTGTCTAAAAAGTGACTTTTTACCATGTTCCCAAAATGACACAAAGTAAAAAAATTGACTTTGACTTACACAACCCAAAATGACCATGTTTTCAAAATTCTAAGTTCTTTCATTTTTTAAAATTTTTTGAGAATCAAAATTCAAAATCAATATGTAAACTTTTTGCAAAGAGGAAGAAAAACTTATTCTCAAATAATTTGATTTATTCATTTTGTAAATCCTTACGTATAAATCATTCATTAAAAAAAATTAAATTTAAAAAATCACGCGGCAACAGTGATTGCCAACAATGCCTTAGCAAGTCAAAAACCCTCATTTTCCATAAGGCACATGGTTTAAAATCTTTTAAAAGAAACAAAAGTTTTCGGCCATCTAGATGACTAGTCTGTTTTCCTAATTTGCTGACTGCTGACTCCAAAACATATGATGGTTTCTCGTCAGAATCATATTAAAGTGAACATTCTCCTAATTGACTTTCTTTAAAAAATCATTCTGTCAGTAATCAAAATCACCATAAATCATCAAATCTCTGTCAACCCCACACCACAGTTTAAGAGAGGCCAATCAAATTGACTAATAAGCTAATTCCAAACTCAAATATCTTCTTTGAGAATATACAAACCACTGGTGTTTCAGTTGGCAATACAGACTAGTCATTTAGATCAACTACATGCATAAGGTAAAACAAATAAACAAGAAAAGGAGGAAGAAAAAAAAAATAGAAGATTTATTACTGAGGCAGAAATGCCGGCAGCATGGAGTCTCCATTGCCAAACAAGGGCCTTGGTCTCTTTTTCAGTGCCAGACCCATTGGAGAAACAGGCCCTACATTTGAGGTTGTCAAGCAGTTATCAACAGAGCAGTCGCCAAACCGAGCAGGCAAATTGGAAGCATTCCTGTTTTCTAAAGAGGAAGCGAGTACAGAAAAAGAGGGCAAATTTGGGGTCTCAACATGGACCATCCCATTACAGTCGTTTGAAACGTTGATTGCCAGTTCTGAGAGCTCTTCCCTGGCAGCTTCAAGCCCAGCAGTGGCAGCAGCCTGGTCACTGAGAGCTCTACAAGCTTTCTCTAGGATAGATTGCAGATACTTGCCTTGAGCTTCAATCCTAAGTTGGAGGCGACGCTGAACCTAGTTTCAATAGAACTGTAATGATAAGCTTCCGTAAATGTGTAAATTCATAATCCAAATAAAAAGAAAAGGGAAAATAACAACTCAGTGAACATTTAGAAAGTTAATTACAAATTAGTAATAAAGTTTATAACTATTCATAATTAAAATCTTAAGTTTTTTCATGAGTTTGTAATAATTTTGTGAAACTACACCTCTGTGGTAATTCTCCCAAAATAAAAACACCTTAGACAAGGATAGTTATAGCTTAAGTTCACATTTGGGTTAGCTTCTGAAGAGAAATTCAGCAAACTAGCTACATCTATCGCACCTGAGGTTTCTGAAATTTACTTGTATATAGACCTCCCCTATGGTTCATTGAGATTGCAAAGACATCCAACCTCCATCAGTTCGCCATTGAATCTTGTGTCAAAAGGGCATTTTTACTCTTATTCGCCTTGTTTATTACATGACAAGATCGTGATGGCCTTATTTTAGGTTTCATTTCTGTGTCTTAGTTCAGAGGACATAAAAGTCTATACAAGTCATGCCCTTTGAAGGCATAAGAAGAGACAGCAATGCCAGCATTGTTAATGTCCGTTTTAGCACTCGAAATGTCATAAATCAAATCAGATGATAAAGTGTAATTACAGGAATATTAGAAGTCTTCATTATTCTAAAAAGGTCAGAACAGGTAAACTAGTACAAATTATCACCAAAGCTAGCAGAGTGACCTTTCTCACACTAAAGTAACTCTTTATTAGGAAATGCACTATTCTATTTTTCTTATTTTTTATGCAGCGAGTAAAACCTTTTCACAACTTCTCAATAATGGTGCTGGTGACAATAGTTTATGAAGTGCTTGAAATGAAAATCTGATGAACTGCACACTAATATATGTATTCTTTTTTTTTTTCTTTCTAAGATTAGGGTAACCTTCCTTCACCATACCATGGTTTCTTTCAGTCTAAATCACGTAAAAATATAAACAAATAAAAGAAAAGGTTATACATAACCTAATTTTTAACCTATTTCCTCACTACTTCACACAAGCAAGTTGATCCAAATGTATTTATTTAAAGTGGGCCCTGCTACTCTTTCCCTTACCATAGGAAATGGGATTATCTATAACATCACGCACAAATAAATATTGCATGGGGAGTTCAATTTTTTAGTTTACAATGTAGTTAAGGTGTTCTTTTGTTTTTTGCTGTTAAACTTCCCCAAGTAGTGTGGGCATGTGGCTTCAACTTTTTTCCACATTCTTTTGGCTTATTTTTCAACTTTACCATGAGTCCATGGGTAAGACCCTTTCTGGAAGCAAATATAATACTGATGAGTCAAAGTCAGTGTGCTGATACTTGTGGTACACACACATAAGCAAAGAAACAAACCTCCAACTGGTCATGCAGTCTTCTTTGGACTTCCATCTGTACTCGCAAAGCCTCAGTAACCTGGTATCCACTGTTTAAAAGATGAAAAATAGCAAAATGTGATGGCAAACAGTTACACGAGCATTGTGGCAAGAAAAAGAAAGGTTTAACCACCAGCTGTTACCTCTTTTTTTTTCTTTTCTTTTTAGAAACAGTTAGATGTCATGTATTAAAAATAAAAACAATTAAAAAAAGAAAAACAGTATGCATCATACTCATTTAAGTCTTGAGCTATTTTTGATGAAGATGATGTCGATGAACCAGTGTCCTGAGTCTCTGCAATGCAAGACGCTGCAATCCCTACTACACATTAGTGATGAATCAAAAGCATTTCAAGTGATGAGTAAAAATGCTAAAACATTCCAAAGCATCTTGATGAAACTTCTATGTCCAAAAATTCAAGTGTATATCTCACTACAAGTACTGGTACATCATGCTAAAAATGATGCCTGGCCATTTCCAAATTTGGGTGGAAAATTCTTTTCATGTTCTACATTTATTTATTTATTTTTCAGCGTTTTTGTGCTGTCAAATTTATATGCATGTAAATTTTCAAGTAGTTCTACCTTACATCCTTCAGTTTGATTTGAAAATCACCTAAAAATTCAACATATGAACATGGCATGTGGACTAAATTTTTTGTGCTTTATCCATAGCACAATGTGAAAACTCCTAAGCATTATAGTGAGATCAAGGTTGATACCATCTTTAGAGTTGTCCAGTAAATCCTTGCAAGACTGCTTTCCCAGACGATACTTCTGCAATGAGACATCAAATACAGAGGCTCATGCTCGTGAATACATAGAGGAATGTTAGCTATAAAGGAGTCGGTAACGTTTCTAAGGCAAAAGCAAATCAACAGATATGAAAAATATGGCAGAAGAATGGTCGAAATTGGTACTCAAAATGTTCAACCCATACCAGCAGGAAGCTCGAAGACTGACTCTTCTGATTTACCTTTCGGGGGGGGGGGGGTGTAAATTACATTGTGTCCCAAATCTATGATACTACTTTCAATTCAGCCTCTCAACTGCATTTTGTCACAAGTAAACCCCTCAACTATGAATTGCTTCAATGTCAACCCTCCATCTTATTAAAATAAATCTACACCTAAAAAGGGCATTTAAGAGATAACATGATTTCTTTTTTCTCGTTCTTCTCTTTTCCTATGTTTGTGTGAAAGGTGGCCTTGGGGGAGTTGAGCATGTCAAGCAAACAAAGCTAGAAAACAATATCAAGATTATGCACCCGAAAAATAAAATACAGAAACAACGAACCTGAAGATGTGACTTCAAGTGATAAAGGGTAAGTCCTTTTACTCCCATTGTTCTCATAATTGTCTTTGGTGTTGCTTCTGCAATTCACATTAAAATTAAATTCTAAAAATTAGCTCTCTAAACTAAAATGCAATTTTCGAAAGCATTTATGATGAGAAGACACAACCTAGACATGTACGATAGTCAGCTATAGCAAAATGATGTGTTAAATAAGGCGCAATTATGTGGGAAGGTTCCAAACACAAAACAAGTTTGTTCGAGTGCAACAATTACAGGGGCAATTTGGAAAGTGCTGTCATCAATTCACCCATGCATGACAGCATTCCAGAACAATGACACAGCATACAGATTCAACAGTTCAGTGTAACCATTTGGTAGAGCTATGGGAAAGTGATTATAACTTATAGTCTAACAGCTTATACCTTATAGCTATGAACATAAGCTGATTTTTGACTTATAAATTAAGCTTCTCCTCCCCCGCTCAAAGAATAAGTTGATTTTTGACTTACAAAAAGCTATAAGCTGTATTGTTAAACTGAACCAAACACATCAAAATAGCTTAAATTAAGTTAAAAGCTGAAATAAGCTGGAAATAAACTCTACCAAACAGGGCTAGTATCTTAGTCAAATTTTGCCGCAACATTGATATCCTCTACACTCACCTGCTAGAATTCAGTATATCCCTGCCTATATGAACGTTGTTTATATGGCCATAAAAATAAACAAAGTTCATCTGTCCCATACACAAAATTTAAAACACTATATGAAGAGGTAATCCCTGTGGTACATGAACATAAATGGATGCATCGTTGGTAAAAAATAATACATGGATGGTACCTAGTACACTTGTTGCTCAGAATATGGCAAAGGAGGGTGCCTCATATGGATTATGCAGATTGCTTAATTATTAGTTATAAATTACAATGTGTCAGTAGGATAGTTTAGATGTAAACCCTACCTTTTATGCATTAAGTTCATGAACCTCTCTTTTTTTTCTTTTTTCTTTTTTCTTTTTTTAATTGAAGAAAAAACAAAGAAGTTCATGAAACTTTTTGATCCACCATTCACTTGGAGGCATGCTTGGTATATGCTAGTATTGCAAAGCTAATATCTCCAATTTATGTTAGCGCCAAAGCTAGCTGAAGGGCACATGTCAGGCAATTACAACCTATCAGGTATTAGGGCTGCAAATGAACCGAGCTATTCATGAACAAACTCGAGCTCGGCTCGTTAAGGCTCGTTCGAACTCGGTTCACTTACTAAATAAACGAGCTCGAGTTTAAATTTTAAGCTCGTATAATAAACGAGCCGAGCCCGAGCTTAATAATGCTCGAATCGATTAGGCTCGCGAGCTTAAATAAATAAATATATATTTTTTAATTATATTATATATAATATAATATATATTATACATGTTATAAAACTTTGAACTTTTTATTTTTTGTTTACATAATATCTCATGTTTTATATGTTCACACACACACATATATATATATATATATATGTATATTATATTGCATTGCATGTTCCTAGGCTTGACTTGGGCTGCCAATGCCGTTGCCAGCAGCTCCATTTTATAAGTAGTGAACCTTTAGCATGCTCCTTCCTTTGAGCGATATGGGACTTTTGGTGCAAAGGATAAAACGACGCCGTTTGATAGTAATGTTTCAAACAACTTGGAGTCTCACATCGTTTACCTCATGCATTTCAAAGACAGACAGATCTCTATTTAAGTGGAGTGGCTGCTAGCTTTTGGTGGTTTCACTTGGCTAACGAGCCATAACGAGCCGAGCTCGAGTTATGTAAATTTTAGGCGAGCCGAGCTCGAGCTCACATATTTAGGCTCGTTTCGAGCTCGAGCCGAGCTCGAACACGTCCATAATAGGTTGAGCAGAGCTCGAACATAGTGAAACTCGACTCGGCTCGGCTCGATTACAGCTCTAGTGGTGATAGATGCACTAAGCCGAAAGACGACTAGAAGTAAATCTGAGCAGTTGGGGTTGTTTGATCACCACTAATCTCAAAAGCTTAAGCTGTTTGAAAAATGGTACAACAAGGCATATGAAGATCTCCGACACTCTCACTTTGCACATAGAGATGCAAACGTCTAAACATGTAGAGAAACAAAATACAAATAAGGAAACTAATACAAACATGTAGAGAAACAAAATTGCAATGGACATATAGTAATAGTAAGATCAAAAGCGGGTTCTAAGGAATAAAAAATAACGTCTCATTATTTTTGGCTTGGGGATTCTTTCTGTTTTGCTCTTGAAATTTTGTAGAGTTTTTTAGGGGAATTGTAAAATGTAAGGCTTAAATTTTTAGATAAGTTGGTGTTTAAGAGTTTAGCATGGTATGAGAGTAGGCAAGGCCCACTGTTCAAATATCACTGCCTTATTGTCAATACTTCCGTTTGTTTGACCTACTTAGGGTAGGGAGTCAGGCTGCACGTGAGGGTGGTGTTAAGGATTAAATAGTTAAAGTTACACCATATCTAACAACTCAAACTTTTAGATGAGTTGGTGGTTCATAATTTAACGGGGAGCAAATTATTATCTATCGTATTCTATGAAGCATGGAAACTCAATTTTAGTCACCGTAACAGTGTGCCTTGGACACATTTGTATTTAAAAATGAAGTTCTGCTCAAGTCATCCAGGTTTACAAGCTAATTAAAAAGCTTGTACTCTTGCTTCTTTCTCATAGTTTTATGATCATAATACTCTCATAATGCAATGACAAAGTAGCATAATCACTTTAATTTGTCCACAGCAGGACTAAGCATGCCAAACATAATTGAAATGAATGGTTCCAAAACTAGGTTCTCCTTGGCAAAGTACTCCATTGAATACCCAAATAATTGACTAAGAATAATACTTAAGGTGCAAAACTAAATGACGTTTAAGTTAGGAAAATCATTTAAACCAATGAAGAATAGTTGAGTTTGGACAATAATTTCCAACCATTGACAAGATATTTTATTAAACCTATTACAAAATTATTAACAACAAATAAACAAAAGAATTGATGGGACCATCAATTTTCAAAACCTGTCCTTCTAATAATTAGCTAAAGAAAAGTCATGGTCAGCATCGACAGAGAATGAGAAAGAGATTATCAAATAGCTTAAATTATGGGCTACACACAACCCCACCAACATGACCCACAATCATAATAATGATGACAAAAATAGGAGACTCCTGAAATTTGGAAATTAAGGGGTAAAATTGATTTAAGGCCAAATTACACAAGTAGTCCTTATATTTTGTTCTTATATTATTTTGATACCTATAATTTCAGTTTGCTCGATTTTGACATTAAATTTATGATTTTGTTTAAATTTAATCCAATTGATTACGGTTGTTAGTGTTATTTGATATAAAAAAAAATAATAAAAAAATGTGCATATACTGCTTGTGTTATGTTTTTATAGGTAAAATTGTAATCTCATTCAACTCTGTGAGTTAAAGCTCAATTAACTCAGTGACCATTTTTGTTCAAAAGCCCTAATATACATTATCAATTGAACTAAATTGATACAAAATCTAAAACTTTGAGCTAATTAAAATTATATGAATCAAAATGACACAAGGAGCAAAACACATTGACTACCAATGTAATTTACCCTTGATTAAGTTCACAAAAATAAAGGGCAACTTCATCAAAACTCTCAATCTAAAATACACCCAATTTAGCCTTCATCTGATAGATTGGGCACAGACTTGACTTTTAGTATAATTTAGTACTTCAGACCCACAATCTGAAGATTAATAAGCTAAATTTTAACCACTAATTCATTCTGTACATACAAACATGCAAATTTTTATTAATTATAGATGTGACCTTTATTCAAGTTGCAAAATGACTACAAAATCAAAAAAAAAAAAGAGAGATAAAAAATTACACTGATAAACAAAATGAATGATGAAGAAGTTTATACTCACTGTCAGGTCCACCAAGCTGAGTGACAGCATCAACAAATCTCTCATGAAGCTCCGAAGTCCAGCGAAGGCGGGGCTTCGGATCCGTGGTCAACACCAAGCACGCGTCCGCAGGCAGATTGGTCCCGTCCAGAGCGCCCTGGAAGTCACCGTGAACCCCCACACCGCCATCCAGCGGAAGCGAATGAATCGCCGAGTACATTTTCCAGGAAAATCACCACCCACCCAGCAAAGATTTTCCCGAGAAAGTGTCGTAAAACCCAAAATGTTTAAGTGAATGATGAAGGGATATATAAATTGGGTTTTATCACTATTCAGTCAGAGAATGTGGTTTAAACGGATGTAGTTAGTAGTGGGAAGAAGAGAACAAAGACATACATACATATATCATATATTGAAGGGGGGAGAGAGAGAGAGACCAGACATAGATGGAGATGTGTCTCTGTCTTTCTGTGTTGGTTTCTCTCTCTAGCCAGAGAGAGAGAGAGAGAGAGAGAGGAGAGTACTGTGCTGTGGTGTGGTATTTGTTGCTATTGGCAAGACTAATGAGGAGGAGGCAACATGTAGTCTGGCTGTCATTTTGATGTTTTCATATTACAAGGAAATGTTAGCATGAGGTCGCCCTCATGTGTTTTCTATAGATCATACTTGTGTTTTAAAATAAAAATTACAAATCAGTTGGACAGTGAAAGATTATTTGTATTTTCACCATGGGTGTAAGTTTGCTATATGCATGCTGCAAGTGCTCACTATGGGTTAGAGTCACAAAAAATGCAAACATTAATTTCTCCATGTTCTACCTATTCATAATTTTTTAATAAAAATTATTTACAATTGTTTAGTTGTTACAAGAAAAAATAAAAGCTATATCATAACTTTTTTATTCAGTGATTTATTTTTTTATGTTTTGTTATTTATTTTTTATTTTATCGTTTGGTTGGAATGGTTCTTTGATATAATGTTTCCTACATTCTAAAAAAAAAAAAAACTGTTTTATTGAATGAAACATCTTCCTTCAAATATTTTTTTGTAAAAAGTACATGACTATAAACTTTCTACTAAATTTTTTTTTTAAAAAAAAATGTGGTTTAAACGGATGTAGTTAGTAGTGGGAAGAAGAGAACAAAGACATACATACATATATCATATATTGAAGGGGGGAGAGAGAGAGAGACCAGACATAGATGGAGATGTGTCTCTGTCTTTCTGTGTTGGTTTCTCTCTCTAGCCAGAGAGAGAGAGAGAGAGAGGAGAGTACTGTGCTGTGGTGTGGTATTTGTTGCTATTGGCAAGACTAATGAGGAGGAGGCAACATGTAGTCTGGCTGTCATTTTGATGTTTTCATATTACAAGGAAATGTTAGCATGAGGTCGCCCTCATGTGTTTTCTATAGATCATACTTGTGTTTTAAAATAAAAATTACAAATCAGTTGGACAGTGAAAGATTATTTGTATTTTCACCATGGGTGTAAGTTTGCTATATGCATGCTGCAAGTGCTCACTATGGGTTAGAGTCACAAAAAATGCAAACATTAATTTCTCCATGTTCTACCTATTCATAATTTTTTAATAAAAATTATTTACAATTGTTTAGTTGTTACAAGAAAAAATAAAAGCTATATCATAACTTTTTTATTCACGGATTTATTTTTTTATGTTTTGTTATTTATTTTTTATTTTATCGTTTGGTTGGAATGGTTCTTTGATATAATGTTTCCTACATTCTAAAAAAAAAAAAAAAAAGAACTGTTTTATTGAATGAAACATCTTCCTTCAAATATTTTTTTGTAAAAAGTACATGACTATAAACTTTCTACTAAATTTTTTTTAAAAAAAAAAAGAAAAGAAAAAATTAAATCATTTTATTACTATATTTTTTTCTTTTTTTTCTTAAATCAATTATAAAAAAATATATTTAATTGATAATCTAGTCAATTCAATTTCACCATAACTAGGTTTAAAAAAATAAATAGTATATTTTAGAATCATACTTGTCATTTATCTTTATTAATGGTTGTAATTATTAGATTAATTTAACTTATTTTATAAAAAAAAATTATATTCAATAGCTTGTAAGAGAGCTGTTTGATATTATAATACTAGTTATAGTTTTTTTTATATTTAGAATTTGAGCTAAAATATTTGACTCAATTTCTAATTATAACTTACAAGAGTTGAGGAAGAGATGCTTTTATCTTGTATAAATGATAAGATTAAGTAGTTATTTGGCATACATTAAAAAAAATACACTTTTTTTTTTTTGTATATATAAACTTCTTTGGATTATATCAATCAACATCTATAAATATCTCATCTTCACTTTTTTACTTATTTTCTCTATTTTTTTATATTTTTTTTTAAAAAAAATTAAAAAATATATTTATTTAGAAACATTAAATGATCCCAAATTATCGAAATTGATGAGGAGCCATGCACTCTATCAGTCCTGCCCACTGTTGAACTTTCAATGAAGTGCTTCACATGCTCTGTTTTTGGTTGAATCAGTTCCAACTTCCAATAACGGCAAAGCAACAAAAAGATTACAACAAAACACAAAAGAAATTAGAGACTTGCGAGTCAATGCATGCATGTATCAATTGAAGAGATGTTATTCAATGCTTACATAATTAGTTTTATTTTAACTATTTTTTAAATTGGAAATATCGCATAAGTGAGGTTTTAAAAAAATAATTACAAATTAATGAGAAAATTTATGCATATTAATAATTAAAACTATAAATTTTTTTATGAATATTTTTTTTTTCTCCCGTTGGGGTGTAATTATCCCTTCTTTTAGAAATGACAAAGTATATTTTTTATTTCAGTATCTACCTCTTATTTGAATTAGTTTTGAAAAATATGATAGAATAATTATATTAATCTTGTGAGATTAATTGTATTTTTCTTAAACTTTAAGGAGTTGGGTATAATTTATTCAAATAAAAATAATAGAAAACTCATAATGAATATTTTTTTTTATCAAAAAAAATCTTGAAATTTTACTCTTAAAAAAAACCCCAATTTTAAATTTTTTCAATCTAAACCACCTGCCTATTTTTATTGAGTAAAACTGATTGAAAAAATATATATTTTAGTCATTAAATTAAAAAAATAATATTTTAAATATTTTATATATACTTATATTGAGATTAATGACTTAAATAATATTTTCTCGTTAGTTTTAGTTAATATAAATAGATTGATAATTTAGATTTAAAAAAAAATCAAAATATTAAGATTTAAATTGAAAAAATTAAAATTTTATTTTGTTAGAAGGGTGAAACTCTGATAGTTTTTTTATTTGTAATTTACCTTTTCTTTTTCTTTTTTTTCTTCGTGATATTAGGTGGGTAGATAATGTTGGGGTTTGTTTGGAAGGAGGGAAAGACATCACCAAGGATCCTCTAGAGTGAAATTTTCCTAAAGTTTCCTAGAGTGCAATATTGTGTGGTTGAATTGAAAAAATATATATTTTAGTCATTAAATTAAAAAAATAATATTTTAAATATTTTATATATACTTATATTGAGATTAATGACTTAAATAATATTTTCTCGTTAGTTTTAGTTAATATAAATAGATTGATAATTTAGATTAAAAAAAAATCAAAATATTAAGATTTAAATTGAAAAAATTAAAATTTTATTTTGTTAGAAGGGTGAAACTCTGATAGTTTTTTTATTTGTAATTTACCTTTTCTTTTTCTTTTTTTTCTTCATGATATTAGGTGGGTAGATAATGTTGGGGTTTGTTTGGAAGGAGGGAAAGACATGCAAATTGCAGTAGAAAGTGAGGCCTTTGTGGGTCTTTGCCATGTATAGTTCTTGTGGTTGCTATTCACACTGCAGTGGAAATTCATGCATGCAATCTGACAAATGAGCTTTCATACAAAGGTCTTCCAAATTCCCTGTTATGGTGAACTTTGTGGGGTTTGATAGTGTTGCTGACATGACATTACCCTCTCTCTCTCTCTTTTTTTTTTAATTTATTTATATTTTTTATAGTTGTACTTGGAATGGCCTCAAATTTGTTCCTCTGTTTGTCGCTTTTAACCACCCAAATGAAGGGGTCCTATAAGTATATATCATCAATTCAAGTGGTAAATGAGATTAGATCCACACCCACTACTATGTAGAGTAGTAATTTCATAATAATATGAAAACCATCTATTTTTTGCATTTAGTTCTATTAATTATATTTACTCCTTATCTAAATCTAATGGCTGTAATAGTTTTGGTGCATGGTGCACAAAGATTCATCATTTATGCAACCATAAAAAATCCCAAATGACGAGTATCATGTTTGCTTCTAAACCTTTGTTTGGTGTAATTTTTTTTAGCGAGGTAAAAACTAATAATCGTAAATTAAAAGTTATGCACATATTTATATCTTATTAATTAGTCTTTTCAATTTATTATTTTTTGCCTCAGACAAGTAAAAAATACATCAAATTTTGTCCAACAAAAGAAACATAAATAATCTCAATAAAACTACATTATATTTTTATTCAAAATGTTGACAAGACTCAAAAGTAAGGTTCTTTCAAGAGTCCATCACAACTGTGGGAACAAATCATGTTTTCGTACACAGAAGCTCACATGGGTTTGGCTTGATTATGTATATAATTGTATATTAGTTTGAATGAATGCTTTGTTGATCTTTCTCTAGACCTAGGAATGTGCTGAGATGATAGGTAATGACATTTAATAGGGTCATGCATTATGGTGCTTAGTCATTTTCTTAGACCCCATCAACTTAATAAAATGGCATGCTCATAGAAAATGATATATATATATATATATATTACATGATTATATGTATGATATTGGTCCATCTCCTCTCTAGGATGAACGTCTTGTTTTCAAACTCAGAGATACAAAAATATTAAAATGTTAGAAAATAATGAGTTTTTAGCAATTTTAATTCGAAATTAAAGTGGGACCCAATCGCCGGTTACAGTGAGTCTGAGTGATTTTGTAGTTTCTTAAGTGAGAAGATTACAATACAAAAATAATGAAACGAAACTATTAAGTTGTGAATGAAAATTATCTCATAAAATGGACATCAATAAAGATGGGTTTAGATTTGGACTTAATCTTAGTTTGAACTGGACTTAGACTTATACTTGTGCATGTGTTGGGTTTGATCTTAAACTTAGACTTGGACTTGAACTTAGTCTTGAACTTTTGGCTGAGCTGTGTTAGACTTAGTTTGTGCAAGTGTTTAAGATTGCGCTTGGATCGGGTTGTGACTCAACGTCTATATCCATTTTACAATTTAATTTTCAAAACTTATACATTATATACACATTATGATTTATATAATGGTTTTGGAGTTTTGAACCTTTATAACTCTAGCCTTAATAGCTAGAGTTGATGACATTTAATGACCCTATTGATGTTAGCCTTCATAGCTAAGGCTCTCCCCTACTAGTATAAATAGAGGTATTTCTTCTCCAACTTAGTAGGTTATTTTTAGAGAGGTTTTGTGATAGAAAATAAAATGATATTTTGAGATAAAAAGTTAGAAATGATTTTTTTACACC